TTTTCCCTCCAAAGCTATGTCTTGTCTTCCTTAGCTTTGCTCCACTGAGGAGGCTTTTTGCCGTGACTTCCACCAACGCAAAATAGATTGACTCTGCCTTGGCCTCTGTTTCCACCATTTGTGGGTGGGTTGGGTTAGCTTTTGTGTGCTGTGACTCAACCGTTCATTTTGCAATCCGCTTCTGTCAAGCTACCTTTTTTTTGTTTGTTTCCCTGCAGCTTTCATTTCCTTTTCAGTTCAAAGGAGTCTCTTATTTTTCTCCTTACTTTTTCTTTTCTTTTCCTTTTCTTTTTTTTTAATCTCCCGATCTCTTGCGTTTGACTCTTTATGGTTTCTGTACATCCTCCGAAACCGGCGACTGCAATATGAAGCTTTTAAAAGCTTCTGGGTTTTTTTTTCTTTTCTTTTTTAAAGAAAGAAAAACAACAACAACAAGGCCTGCATCGATTCAATAAGGCTATTTAAAAATATCAAAAAAGGAGGAAGGGAATAAAGCTTTTTCCTGTGCTTATTAATTTTAACAACGAAAAACATCCCTTCGTTTAACTGGAGGTTGAAATTGGACCGGCTACTTCAATGAGCTTAAACAGGAAGCGGAGTAATTTACTTAATTACAAATCTGATTATTTCTGATGGAGATGGAGGCTCAAAGGACCTTATATGGTGCATAAGTGTAGGTAAAACGCATATGTTCAGTACATCAGGTGTGAACAATCGGTACACTGCAGAAACCAGAAAAAGGGCTGAGAAAAGTCTAAATAAAAGAAGAATTAGGGGCGACATGATAGCAATATTCTGGTATGTGAGGGGCTGCCACAAAGAAGAGGGGGGCAGGTTGTTCACCAGAGCACCAGAGGGAAGGACAAGAAACAATGATTGGAAACTGATCAAAGAGAGAAGCAACCTGGAATTAAGGAGAAACTTCCTAACAGTGAGGACAATTAACCAGTGGAACAGCTTGCCTCCAGAAAGCGTGGGCGCTCCATCACTGGAGGTTTTTAAGAAGAGACTGGACAGTCACTTGTCTTAGATGGTGTAGGTTCTCCTGCTTGAGCAGGGGACTGGACTAGAAGACCTCCAAGGTCCCTTCCAGCTCTATTCTATCTATCTCTATCTCCATCTCCATCTCCATCATCTCCATCCCTATCTATCTATCTATCTATCTATCTATCTATCTATCTATCTATCTATCTATCTATCTATCTATCTATCTATCTATCTATCTATCTATCTATCTATCTATCTATCTATCTATAAAATAACTATAGATCCCTCATCCTGGACATAAACTGTTTCAACTTCTCTCCTCTGAATACCACTGCAAGGCATTACACGCCAAAACAATTAGACAATTGTGTCATCACTCTGCTGATCACTTAATTCCCACAGTACTGTCTTAGGCCTAAATATATTTTACCTATGTAGTAGGGCTGTATTGCTATTATCCTTTTCATCATCTCATCTTTCCCATCTTCCCATTTTTCCTACTACCTTCTCCTATTGGTATCTATGATTTATCACTTGTTGTTTGTATCTTATGATTAATGATTGTACCTGTGATCTATGACCTATCACTTTGTTGTTTGTATGTGCACTGAGAGCTTATGCACCGGAGACAAATTCCTTGTGTGTCCAATCACACTTGGCCAATAAAGAATTCTATTCTATTCTATAAAGAATTCTATTGATTTCAGATCCAGGCAAGATTTTACTTCATCTATGCTCATTTGATCCCCAATTTTATGTCTGTGACAGTTGCATTCTGTCTTATGTGTCTCAATATGCTATCTGTCTTATTAGAATTCCTAACTTATATGGGATAAGGGACTGGATTTTTAAAAGCATTATGATCCAATTAATTTAAATCATCCAGCAGAATGTAGCATTCCAATTCTTATATTTCTGTCAAATTCCTTGTGTGTCCAATCACAGTTTGCTAATAAAGAATTCTATTCTATTCTATTCTATTCTATTCTATTCTATTCTATTCTATTCTATTCTATTCTATTCTATTCCATTCCATTCCATTCCATTCCCTTCCCTTCCTTTCCCTTCCACTCCACTCCTTCTCTTCTCTTCTCTTCTCTTCTCTTCTCTTCTCTTCTCTTCTCTTCTCTTCTCTTCTCTTCTCTTCTCTTCTCTTCTCTTCTCTCCCATCCCATCCCATCCCATCCCATCCCATCTCACTCTACTCTACTCTACTCTACTCTACTCTACTCTACTCTACTCTACTCTACTCTACTCTACTCTACTCTACTCTACTCTACTCTACTCTACTCTGTTGTTTCTATTCTATTCTATTCTATTCTATTCTATTCTATATTCTGTTCTGTTCTGCTCTATTCTATTCTATTCTATTCTATTCTATTCTATTCAGGATAAAACAATTTTGGGAAATGATCTGGACATTAAAAACAGAACCCTTGCAAGTTGAAATACCAGCTAGCAAATTTGTTGCACATCCCTGAATCGTTTGGTTAAAGGCAGATGGAAAATTGAAGTTTTGCAAGACTCATTTAAAAACTCTGTAGGCGAGGTCTGTTGATGTTATGGATCGTTTGCTAGTCATCTTGTGATAATGGCTAACTCTTCCGTTAATAAATAAAACCATCTTTAAACGTAGAGTGCAGCAGGAGATGGTGCGTGTTGGAAAGCGGCTTTTTGAGTTACTACGAGAACGAGAAGATGGCCACCCCAAGTGGGACGTTGGACATCGGTGAAGTCATCTGTCTTGTCATTCATAAGTCGGAAGACACCTTACCCACGGGGTAAGTCCAAGGTCTTTGATGGTTTTGGTTAAATGATTTGTTCTGTCGATACTGATCTTGTTTTTTTTTTTTTTTTTTACAAAGCAACTTTTTATAATGGCTGCTACATTCTTAATTCTGGATTTCTCATTGCACATTGCTGGAAGGTCCAAGGATAAACAAATACATCATAGAATAACAGAGTTGGTAGTTGAGGTCATCTAGTCCAACCCTCTGCCCGAACAGAAGACCTTATACCAGGGATAGGCAACCTTGGCTCTTTTATGACTCGTGGACTTCAACTCCCAGAATTCCTGAGCCAGCATGGGGGAATTATGGTCCCTTCATGACTCGTGGACTTCAACTCCCAGAATTCCTGAGCCAGCATGGCTCAGCTTGGAAACGCTCTCCCTTTCCCCTCAGCATGGCTGGCTCAGGAATTCTGGGAGTTGAAGTCCACGAGTCATAAAGCGGTCTAGGCCTAGGCCAGAGGTAGGCAACCTTGGCTCTTTTATGACTCGTGGACTTCAACTCCCAGAATTCCTGAGCCAGCATGGCTCAGCTTGGAAACCTCTCCCTTTCCCCTCAGCATGACTGGCTCAGGAATTCTGGGAGTTGAAGTCCACGAGTCATAAAAGAGCCAAGGTTGCCTACACTTGCCCTATACCATTCCAGACAAATGGTCGTCCAGTCTCTGTTTGAAAGCCTCCAGGGATGGAGCACCCACCACTTCTAAGTTCCCCTGGGTTGGTTGATGGTTGATTGAGTGGAATGAGTGAGTCAATTAATAAAGGAATGAAATGAGAAATTAAACTCACACATTTTGGACAGCATGAGGACTTTGAATTTGCTCTCTTCCAGTAAAATATTATTCCTAATGAACTTAATGGAATTAAAATTATTTGACGTTAACTGGCTTTTTAAATCAGTGGATCTGGGAGTTCATGGCAGATCCAGCCATGTACACACGGAGGGAGTGAGAGAATGGATAGAATGGATGGATGAATGAATGAATGAATGAATGAATGATCTTCTGAGAAATGAACCCTATGCTTTATGGGCAGTGTGAGAACTTTGAATTTGCTCTTTCCCAATAAAACCTTACTCTTAATGAACTTAGTGAAATTAAAATGCCTTGATGTCCCCTGCTCTTTTTTTAAATCGGCGGAGCTTGTAAAAATTGCAAACCTTTCCAGAGGCAGGAGGATAACCCTGTCAATTTTATAAAGCCAGGATTTGCATCTTTGATAGCTCGGGGATACGTTTTCCAGGAGGGAAAACAAGACTTGAAAGGGGTTAGTTCTGTGTGCACAAGACTCTGTTTTACAAACGAGGTGTAATAATGAGAAGCGTCTCCCGCAATTTCTCCCCTGCTTCCAAGGAAGGCTGACCCTCCGGAGGCCCTAGGTTTGCTCAGATGGGAAATTCTTCTTCTTTTCCTCTATTTATTCCAACTGGAATAGAAAAAGGATCAATTTCGACCTTCTTTCTGAAAGCCCAGAAGCACAAGCTTAACAGCCTTCTGCCAATCCTCCACCACAAGCAAGGTAGCTAAGCAACCATGCGCATTGCACGTGGAAAAGGTAATAATGAATTTCCCTCGCGTTTGAATCCAGGCGTCTAGATATAGAAAGAAATTGGTGGGGCAAATGGGAATATAAGGGAGAGGGAAAAAACAAGGGACGGCAACAAGGGACCTACGCAGAATTCCAAAACCAATAGAGTTAGCCAACTAAATTAGTTACATTATCTCCTTAAATAAGGTCTTGGGATTTACTATATGTTCATTGTTTCCTGCATAAAAATGCATGGAGAGGGATAATCTGGACTTCCTGTTTGGATATTAATAGTCTTCCTTCCTTCCTTCCTTCCTTCCTTCCTTCCTTCCTTCCTTCCTTCCTTCCTTCCTT